TTCTTTTTTTTTTTTTTTTTTTTTTTTTTTTTTTTTTTTTTTTTTTTTTTTTTTTTTTTTTTGAGAGAGTCCTTTTTCTCACTCTCTACCTCCTGTTGAAATGGAAATCTGTACACTTTAAGCTTTTTTGCTCATCGCTTGGTTTTGCTCGGTTATGCCTTACGTTACCTTTGCGGCATTTTTTAACCTCATCTGCTGAAAAAAAAAAAAAAACATTTTCTCAAGGAAACTTCCAACAGCAACTCAAAGCAAACTAAGCTGACAAAATGGGGGGATGGAATCTCTCCAGTGGGAATATTTACTCCACCCACATTGCTCCAGAAGACAGTGCAGGGCACCTGGAGGCGGGCTCCCCGGCTGCTGCCAGTGCAGGGGACAGGCTGGTGGGGTAGGGCTCTGCTGCTGCCCACAGGGGGCAGTGAGGGCTGGCCCCCTTTGCCTGTCACTCAACACCGGCTCAGTAAACGGCTGCTGTGCTGGGAATTCCCTCCCATTTTGTGGCTTCTTCACTGTCTTGCCCAGCTGTTTCCTACTGGGCAGAGGGCCTGGCTGGTCACACTTTCCTGAAGGCACGCGTGAGTGAACAGGACTGTTCTAATGAGTGTATGTTTGATCGCTTTATAAATTTTTAAATACACTTCCCTAAAAGGGTCTGTGTCTCTCTTTATATACTGACATAAAATCTGGCTGTTGCATGTCTGTCTTTCTCTGGACTTCTGTTAATGTCATATGTGGGTTGACTCTGTCTTATCCCGTTTTCTATTTTTTGGTTACATATTTTGTAAATTCAATCCTTATATTTAATGGAGAAAAAAATTAAGAAATGGTTCTTGATGCATTTATTTACACTGGAAGCTTCTCAGTAAGTAACTAGGCATGTGGTCTTTGGCTGTCCTACAGAGCAGGGTGGCCTCCTAGGGTGAACAGAAATGCCAGTTAAGCAGGTGAGTGTTTGAACCTGACTATCAGAGAAAAAGATACCAGCCACCCGCCTTAGTACACAGGCGCGGCCTTCCAGCCAAGGCCCTTCCAGAACCAGGAATTAGGATTTCTCGAGCTCCTCCCAACTGGACACGACGGCTCAGGACTAGCGTTTTCACCATCTGTTCAGAACTGACACCGCAGTTGACTCCTGCGGTTTCCAAAGCGGAGCTCCCTAGTCACGAGTGAATAGGAGTCTCTCCAGAGCCAGGCTCCGCCCCCGCACGGTCCTTCTGCACAGGCGCAGTCTGTGGGGCGCAGGTGCTCCGGCCAGGTTTAGTGAAGGAACCTTGCCATTATTTTCTGCCTCCCACTTGGATGTGCTGGGTAAGCGGGTATGGGAAGATCACCAGAGAGGGGATTTCAAAATATCCTCTTGGACTCTTTAAGTATTTCCCTTAAAAGGTACCAAGGCTCAGCCCGGCCCCCACCCATCTGAACTCTTAACCCCTCAGGCATTGGAAAGGCCTCCTCCTCCCTTGACCGGGCATGAAACTGGCGCTGTCTGCAGCCACAGTCAAGCCCACAGCCGGGCTCCTCCTTCCCCCTCTAGATGGGCACCTTCTGGAGAGTTCTGCCAAGGGCAGGAAGGCGCTACTGTGGTCCAGCCCCCCAGGTGCCGGACCAGCCCTCTGCTGCTCCAAGGCCGGCCCTGTGGCCATCTCACCCGCCTGGGCAGCAGTCACGCAGTGCACTGAGCCGTCCACCCAGCCCTGCCTGTCCCTTTGCAGGCCAGAGCTCCCTGCGTGCTCGCCCACCTCCCTCTCCATAAGCAGTGAGACGGATTTGCAGTGCTTATACACAGGCAGGAGGTGGTCAGAAAATGCCAATAGGTATCATTGTGACAAAATGGTCTAATTAGGAGATGTAGCCTATACCGTACCAAAGACAGTTCTGCCATAAACACTGCTGCTTTATTACATTTCGTAACAACTTTGGCTTTGCGATGTCAGAACTGTTGGGTATTGCCCTCTGCGGGCGAGACTGAGGATGTGCTGCGAATATAAAATGGCTGACGGAGTTTGCACAGGCCAAAGCCTGCCCGGCCTGGCCCCACCAGGCTGAGGGGAGCAGCCAACAGACTGGCCCTCGGCGGAGAGAGGGAACAAGAGCTGGGCCATGTTTTATTTTAAATATGCGCTGCAGTCTAGACTCTTAGTCCTGGCCCCAGGAGTCCCGCGGCCAGCTTGGCATCATAAAGGAGAGCAGGAGAGCCCTCCCACTCTGTCCCTGCTGCCGGCCCAGGACAGCGATCAGCCACCTGCTCCAGTACCAGCTTAGACCAGGGCTGAGAGGCGCGTGTGGCAGGGTCGTCTGACAGGTCACCTCTGCACTGACCCAGTCCCTCCCCAGGGCCTTGGAGAGCCCATCAGAAGCCTTTGGAGTCCTGGGAGCCCATGAATGTCCCCACGGTGGCATCGCTGGAAGTCTCCAAGAACAAAGTGCTAACACCACCTCCCACTTCCTTGTTTGATGGTGTGGACTTGGTGAGGTGCAGCAGCCTCAGCTTTGTCCTCCTCTCCCGGAATGACAGCTCACACGCTGTGCAACACCCCGGGATCAAGGCTGCCGGTGACATTTCTTATACTCAGCAGCTAACACTACTCCATTTGGGGGCCTGGGTAGGACCTTAAAAACCACCTCTGTTTTACTTTTGCAATCTTGCCTTGATGACTGAGTCACCCAACACAGACGGAATGCCTGCTATATGTCGGGCACATGACCGGAGAGGTCAGGTACCACCAGTGGCTGCAGGAGAGCCACAATCAGTGACAAGCTGTAGTGTGGGATACAGTATGGGATATATCCCCACAGCCACAGAACTTTGGGGACACTTGAATCATGCAAGCTCCTAAGAGGGCCAGCCACTAAGGGACATATAAAGGAGACAGGGCAGCTGTCCCCAAGAGCAGGGTGTAGCTGACTGAGTTTTCTGGTAGTGGTAGTGAGTAGGCTTGCCACAGCCCAGTGTGGTCCTCGAGTACCTGTCCCGATGGCCTCTTTACCGGAGACTCATGGGCTTCTCCATTATCTAACCTGTCGGTGAGCTGAAGCGCTTCTCTTTGCAACTATTCAGTAGATGATTTTGTTGAATGAGCATGACATTCACAATGAGGTGACAATGTTTGGGTTCAGGGTCACCCAACAGAGGCATCAACCTGATGATCAGGCTGTCCCCGTGAGGGTGCAACTTAGTTGGACTCCCGTAACAACAGCTTCTAAAGGTAGTGTTACGGTCGCAGTGGTTTGTATAGCTTGTTCCTAAGGTGCTTTCCAGAAAAGTCCTGACTCCGTCATTGAGAAAGATGAATGAGTGGCTGGAGAGAGCACGAGGGAGCAGTTACGGCGACTCCGTGTGGAGCCGGCAAGCCCGCTCCGGGCCCTGAGGCCGTGCGCACACTGACAAGCGACCCCTGTTTTGGGATCTCGTTTCAGCTCCTGTCTGCCTTTTTTGTCTTCGTCTTTCCTTCTGCAGAGTGAAAGTAGCAGCAGTAGCAACATCTCCACCATGTTGGTGACACACGATTACACGGCCGTGAAGGAGGATGAGATAAACGTCTATCAAGGAGAGGTCGTTCAAATTCTGGCCAGCAATCAGCAGAACATGTTTCTGGTGTTCCGAGCCGCCACTGACCAGTGCCCTGCCGCCGAGGGCTGGATTCCGGGCTTCGTCCTGGGCCACACCAGTGCAGTCATCCTGGAGAATCCCGATGGGACTCTCAAGTGAGTGCCTGGCGGGGCCTGGCAGGGAGGAAGGGCACACGCAGGCAGAGAGCGAGCACGGGGAAGGGAGAACTGTGCTCAGGTTTAGTACAGGCGCATCTAAGCAAAATGCATGACGCAGAGCCCCACAGACAGTATCCTTTCGTCAGTATCCTTTCGTCTCAGTCACATTCTAATCCAATGTTCAAATAATATGCATTTGGCAGCACGTGGCTTTTTCGGGTCCATAAATAGGACGTGACAATAACTTAGACCTTGGAGATCTTGGGTTTGGGGGTGACAGTTTGCTGAGGCATGATGTCTGTTGAGGCATGCCGGGGGAGCAACAGCCAAGTGTTCTGTAAGCTGCGGGTAGGAGCTGCGGAAGATCATGCCCTCTGTGTGGAAGGTTAAGTCAGATAAAACCTCGAAACCCATCTTACTGCGTTCCTCATGTTCCTCTCCACGCATAACTGCACCCTCGGCTGCAGGGTGCCCGCCTCTCAGCAGCATCCCGTGCCTCTGGGCTCCGCTCCAGCTGCACAGCCATCCCCGTTCTCCTACAGTAGGTCCTCATTCTGTTGCTCGTGGTATGTGGAAACACAGTGCTTTAATACCTTGCTCAGGAACCTCATTCAGGATTTTGTATGTCAGTCATACCTTAGAGTGCTCCTGAGGCCTGTCTCTGTGCTCCTAAGCCTTCATTATTAGGTAAGGCCTACTCACAGTTGGGAGCATGACTGTTTTCTTGTTTTTTTCTTTTGGAGAGATTTTTCACTGTAGGGCGCGTGCGCTCGCCAGACAGACAGAGAGAGACATAGAGACAGAAAGCGAGAAATCACCCCCCAGGGGGGATGGTCACGCCGCAATCCCTTCTCCTCCATTCTCCTCTCGGGATCTTGGGCACGCACACACACGCGCCCGGCGTGAGTTTTAAGTCACCGGGTCCGGGACACGAACCACGGTCGACTACGTGGGAGTCCAGCGACATAGCCATTACGCTAACTGCTGGTTCCCATGACTGTTTTCTATGCAGAAATGCCTCATGACTGTTTCCTATGCAGAAACACATTATGACTGTTTTCTATGCAAAAACGCATTATGACTTTTCCGACAACCCAGCACTTCACCAGTTACTCTTATTCAGAAACACTCAAAATAATGTTTGACCAAGTTTCTGGGCACCCTGTGACCCAGTCAAATGGACACATAAAATGAGCCATCACATACACCTTTTGTTTTAACCGTTAAAATTCAATGTAAGAAATTGTTGGTTTTTATCTCCTGGTTCTTCAGAATCACAAGAAGGTATTCCATGGCAGCGATTCCCGTTACTGAGGGCTTTTCGGCCGCTCTCTATCGCATAGGTTGGAGGTTTAGCTTTTCTGATGCTGTCAGATGTCCCTTGCTGAGCACTGAAGGGCATGATACTAACCAGGTGGGTTTCTTACCCTAGGAAGTCAACATCTTGGCACACAGCACTCCGTTTAAGGAAAAAATCTGAGAAAAAAGATAAAGACGGCAAAAGGGAAGGCAAGTTAGAGAACGGTTATCGGAAATCACGGGAAGGACTCAGCAATAAGGTATCTGTGAAGGTTAGTTTGAGCGTCGCCAAGAACCTGCGTCACCCTCCACCCGTACGCCGCCCTCCTGTGCTCCGTGAGCGGCGTCCTGCCAGGTCCCACTAGAGGGCTCGTCTGGGACCATGCCGGCCGACACTGCAATGCGTGTGTCCCACAAGAACCCATGAGCATGCACCTGTACCTCCTCAGTGCACGCCTGGCTTAGGAAGAACACACCACAGTTCCCAGGGGGAACACAGACTGGATTCTCAGAAACAGTACAGAGAAGCCGGGACTTCGATGTCCTGCCTTAGACCCAGGGAAGCAACTGGTTACGGGGTGCAGATGCAATGACTTCAGTGAATTCCCGGGGGGTGGTTTCAATTCACTTTGTCATTTTGTTATAACCCTGTGGGAGTTTTTCTGAAGGGAGAGAAAATTTCTCCTGAAGGGAACTCTGGGTCCGTTGGTAGCATGGTGGTTAAGGCGACTGGACCTCAGATGGCCAGCTGCACAGTGGTGCCCGAAATCCCAAAAAAGGAATGTAGGAGCAGGGTTGTGGCACAGCCACCCTGCGAGGAATGCTCGCTCACTCGCTCGCTCTGGTGTGTGCACACTCCCTCTAGCAAATTTTTTTTTAAATACTAATTAAAAATTAAAAGAGGAAGAAGGAAGGGCATCCAAGTGCCCTGGGTCAGGGCAATGGCCCTTTACAAAAGAGAGAGATGCGAGAGGGGACCGTCTGCACTTACCTACGGGGTAAGCAGAGTGGACATCTGCAAGCTTGGGCAGCCTTTTTGTATCTGTGGGAAGGAAGAAGAGACCCAAACTAGTATGATAGTCTTCCAAGTGCTTTGTCAAAACTGCACTCGGTTTTATCGGTATTCAACCAAACCAAGTCCTATTAAATCTACCGACAATCACTGTGTTAAATCTACCAGCAATCACTTCTGTGTTAATACCTGTTTGGTTTTTCTATTTCAGCTTCTCAACCCCAACTACATTTATGACGGTGAGTTCCAGGATCTTTCAGCCTTGGCCTCGAGCTTGGGCAGTACTGTGGGCCTTGATGGGGTGTGGGTGAGCAACTGAGGGTACATGGCATTTACCAACCCCTTCCTCGTGCAGTTCCCCCAGAATTCGTCATTCCGTTGAGCGAGGTCACGTGTGAGACAGGGGAGACCGTTGTTCTTAGATGTCGAGTCTGCGGCCGCCCTAAGGCCTCAGTCACCTGGAAGGGCCCTGAGCACCACACCCTGAACAACGACGGTCACTACAGCATCTCCTACAGGTGAGGGAGGCCTACTCTGGGGGTGCCACTGGTTGGGAGCCTGATCTTGTGTCCCTGTCAATGTGGTTCACACGATGGCTTTCCAGGCCCTTCAGCTCTGCAGTCCTCCATGAGGGCACACTGCACACCCGGGTGTGCCATGTGAGCCACACCGGCTCAGCCCTGGCTTCCCGTGACATTCGGGGAGGTGTGGGAACTGGCGGCCTGGGTGCAGAACCTTCCTGACGCCTGGCATGTTCTCATCTGTGTGGCAGTGACTTGGGAGAGGCCGCGCTGAAGATTGTAGGCGTGACCACGGAAGACGACGGCATGTACACGTGCATCGCTGTGAATGATATGGGTTCGGCCTCGTCTTCAGCCAGTCTGAGGGTTCTAGGTAAGTCCCCTGAGGAGGGACATGTCGAAACAGACCAGTAGGCTTCTCATGCGGCCTCCAGGAGTTCCAAGGGACAGGCCGGTTCCAGGCCATCACTGAAGTGGGGCCTTTTGGGACCTCGAATAAAGTCAGAGGCAGAGAAAGGACAGGGAAGGCCTGAGTGGGAAGAGGAGGGAATCTGCCGGCCGAAGTCACCGGAGCCTTGAGGGCCAGCCTCCGAGTCAGAACAGGTTACTGTCTACACTCCAAGGTGAGTAAGTTCTGGAAGGGCCCTATGTGTGGGCAGTAAACAAGGCGTCTTAGGACTTTTGTCCCATCTCTCTCTCTCTCTCTTTTTTTTTCTTTTAAGCCACTTACAAATATGTTTAATGGCAGCAGTTTTTTATAATTAAAAAAAAAAAAAGTTCAAATGCCCAAGAATTATGTTTAACACTTGCTATACATATAAAGCTAAGAGGCTATCCTGGGTAAACACTGGATTTAAGTAAGATGTTACAGGTATATTTAACTGTATTAATACATAAGGAAAAGATCTTATCCTCTTAAAAGGATTTTCCAGTACTCTTTACTTATCAGAGGGTATATATGCAGCAGAGAGATGTCCACGCGCCCACCCACCATGGGACCCAGTCATGCCACAATCCTTTTTCCTTTCTCCTTCCTGCTAGGATTTCAGGCAGGTGCACATTGTGTCTGGCATGTTTTTCAGGCCATAATCATAGCTGGTCATGTGGGATCACGATCCCGATGCACAGTGTCATAACCGCTGTGCTACGGGGCCAGCCCTACTCTCCAGTGTCCTTAATCTGGGTCCCTACTCCCACCTCATTCCTGCCCACGGGACATACCTGTCACTATAGCTGCCCAACCCACCTTCCTGCCAGGCAGTTGCACTGCACCACTACTCCCCCCGGAGGAAAGGGCGTTTGGTCTTACCTTAACCTGCTTCCAGGCTCAGGGACCCAAACCCACGCCGTTAGTCACCTGAAACTGTCGAACAGCACCAGCAACTCTAGCTGGTTTGGACCTGAAATGCCACCACCTGCCAGAGAGGCATCTCTCTCTCTCTAAATTCTAAATCTGTTCAATTACTTTTCAACAAAAAGAAAGAAAGAAGAAATTTATCAGACAGAGGCCACTCTAGGAATGTTCTTAACCTCTCTTCTCAGCACATGGCTGACAGACGAACTTCAGGGCAGACACACCACCTGCCCCAGGTGTGTGGCTCCACCAGCATCCTCCAGGGCCTGGTGTGCAGAGCGCAGGAAGACATGCGGCCTGAAGGCGCAGGCCAGTGATGTCACTCAGTGGCCTCTGCCAGCAAGGCCTAGCCAACACCCATAGACAGACACACAGTATCCAGCCTGGGCCTTGAGCCTGCCCTGTCCCAGGTTTCATGAGCGGGATCCAGGGGAGGGGAGCAGCCGGTTTCTACTGGAGGCTGGCTGTGGTACTTTCCAGGGCGTGGCCTGGATGAATGATGCCGAACATTCCAGGCACAGATAAACTAACCACAGCTGAGTCGAGGCAACATGCAGGGCTCTGGCTACTCCCAGTCTCTCCTCCATCAACGACCAGAGACAACTGAGGCCAGAAGTCTCGGAATTCTCCACATTCAGGGAACTGGCTTGGGAGCTGAGGTTGGCACTGGTGAGAGCCAGTGGTCCACCAGACATCTGGGCCACATCCCCCATGCAGGCATGGTCAGGAATCCGGGTGCCTGCAAAGGGGAACAAAGGGGTTCAGGTCCTGGTTGAGCTCTTCTGAGTATTCCATCACCAGGGTCACGGGTCCTGGCAACAGGTCTTTCAGGAGCCCCTTGGGTACTCTCAACACAGCAGCCCCTGTAGACATCAACCACGTGACCCAGGCATACTGCCAGCAGCTTAGCCTCGCTGTGGCCCTGGAGATGGTGCACAGTGCCCAGTGCCACCGAACAGCTCGCTGACCAGGCCAGGCTGTACAGCACATCGGTGGGGACAGCCACCACGGTGCTGGCGTGTAGCTCAGCCACGGCCGCCCACAGTGTGTCTGTCCAGCTGGCTAGCTCGGGGCTTGCAGCCCTTACGGCCCCATTCCCAAGGCCAGAAAAGCTGGGCTCCTGGCACCACCAGAGCAGGGCTGAGCAGGGGCAGAAGGTGGGCGCTCCAGCCAGAGCCCAGCTGCCCCTTGCTCAACCCTACGCTGACAGCCATCACAGCTCTCTCTCTCTCTCTTTTTAATTTTTGTTTTGTTTTGTTTTTCTTTTATGCCATAGGATGTGTGTGCTCACTCACCAGAGGGAGGCAGGGAGACACAGAGAGAGAAAGTGAGAAATCACCCCCAGGGGTGTGGCCACAGCACCATCCATTCCCTCCATTCTCCTCTTGAGATTTTGGACTCACACACATTCACCCAGCGTGATTTGCAAGGCACCAGGTCTGGGACTCCAACCGCAGTGGGCCTTGTGGGAGTCCGGTGCCTTTAACCACCAGGCCACCTGCTGCCACCCCCCTTTCTTAATATTCCAAAAATGTTTTTATATACCAGATGCATATAGAACATTAAGAAAGAGCAACCACAGTAAAAATTTATTTACAAACAATTATTATGACATTCGTTTATGAGTGCATAGCACGTATATGAATGTTCTGATTTTTTTTTAATTTAAGCATCTTGTAATATAAAAATGGACAAGGAAAAGTGAGTTTCACATTTAACAGAATTCTTGGCATAAGAAGGACAGCAGTCTTGAGCTGGCAGGTGGTGTGGTAGTTAAGGGCCGCAGATTCCCACATGGCTGACCATGATTTGAGTCCCAGACCTAGTGGCTTGCTTTTTCTCTTTCTTTCTCTTTCTCTCACTCTCTCCCTCTCTAGTCAAATTTAAATTAATTAATTAAATAATTCTATTTTTAAAAAAAAAAAGTACAACAGTTTGGTATAATCTGCTGGTTGCTTTATTTCACTTTAAAGAAAAGACCAAGATCAAAGCCCCTGCACTTAACACTTTCAACCTAAAAGAATCGAACAGTTAGAATTCTAAAACAACATCGATGGAGCAGCTGTTACTTCTGAGTACTAGTGGACTATACTGGAACAAGACACGGCGTAACGGTCTTACAGGGGACTCAGTGCGAAGTGTGCCGGTGAAATCCATGACGGACGCTCATTCCCCAAGAAGCTGCTAGGAAGTCTGCAGAGTCATGCTGATAATAGTTCTCCAAAATTAACTGTGTGGAATACCCAGAAAATGGGTTGGGCTGAAACCTGGAGGTAGTTTTATAATATTCCTAAGCAGCCTTTTTTCCTAAAGACACAGAAGTCTACTGTTTCAGAATAAATTGGAGGCTTTAAGAGCGTCTCCCTTTAGTGCTTTCGACTGTCTCATAGCCAAAGACCCATGTGACTTCCAATGATGTGTGATGCTGTTTAGGCAGAAATTCTCAGGTGTCTGGACTTTGAACGTTGTACACGTGAAATTAAGTAAAAGGACAGAAAGCACGTGTGGCAAGCACATGTGGCACTGTTCCCAAACTAACGTGGCACAGTAAACCACCGCCGGGTGTAGTTCTTCCATTAGTTCACTCTGATGGGTTATAAAAATATCTTCAAATCCAATGGTCTTATCCTTACTCCTCAATAGTCAGTGAAAGGTTAGAGCTTGACAGAGATGGAGGACACTGAGCCTGCTGCACTGCCTGAATCTTGTTTGTAATTCTTTGGGGTTTTTTTGTTTTTGTTTTCTTTTTTTTTTTTTGAGGTTTTTCCTTAGAGTATGTGCTCTCACCAGAGACAGAGACAGTGAGAGAGAAAGTAAGAAATCATCCCCTCATGGGGATGGCATGCCATAATCCCCTCTTCTCTATTCTCTCTATTTTGGCCACACACGCACGCACCCGGTGTGCGTTTCAAGCCACCAGACCCAGGACTCGAACTGTGGTTGGCCATGTGATGTAACGGCTATGCCATCTGCTGGCCTCTCTATTTTTAATTTTAGTGGAGCAAGCCGACACTGACTATTTCTCAGTGTGGAAAAATCCATCCTGTCTTGGTTGAGCTGAAAACTGTTTCTGATCATTCCAGGGGATCGAAAGCTCAGTTTCACACCAGAAGAACCTTTCTGAAGAAGGTCATACCTTTCAGTAGGTCCACTTGCTGAAAGTTCAGTAGCTGGAATACAGTCCTTTAGCCGAAACCCACATCCTTCGGGGGCTATGTAGGCTGTGTGTGCTCGGGTGCTGTGCTGATGTCGGGGGCTGCAGAGTTGGATCACACCGAGGTCAGTTCAGCAGCCACACGGTCGCGCAGCAGCCCTGCCTGCTGAGGAGCATGCAGCACCCAGCCCGCTGCCATGGGACGAGCCAATTGCCCACCTGTGTGACTGGGGGATGGGCATGGAGGAGCTGTCTGCACCCACAGACCTTGAGAGACAAATCAGCTTGGGCATAGTTTAAGGAAGTGCAGAGCTGGGCCAGGGGAAGTCAAGGGGAGCTGACGATGTGTCTGGGCTGGACCACGCTGGCAGGGGAGGGGGATCAGAGGGGCCAGAGGGAAGAGGCCAGCTCAGTAGGGCCCAGAGTCCTGGGCAGCCATGGACAGCTCAGGAGCATGATGGGAGCTGGGCTTCCCGGCACCATGTGCAGTGCGGGCATGTAAGAAACGCGAGCCTTACTGATCACTATTGCAAGAAGAATGTAGAAAGGATGCGTGAGTCGCCCGTGGCCATATATGCTTCCAGGTTCGTCACCCACACAGCTGGTGCTTGTTTAATACAATTCTGCCAAGTTCGCAGCGTGGGTATGGCTCGTAACCATCCCAAGCCCAGTGAGGAGTAAGTAAATAGAGCAAACTTGACTCTTCACGGCTATGAGACGAGACACTGAGAGAGGCCAGCCAAGCATTGAGGCACGTGACCAGGAGACAAGAGGCCCCGTCTGTAGCAATGCTGTCCAGGAGGAGTAAAATGAGGGCCAGCCAGGTGGTGTGGGGGTTAGGGCAGCTGGATTCCACATGGCCAACTGCATGGTTTAAGTCCTGGACCCAACAACTTGAAAAACATACCAGGCACCTGCGTGTGCATGCCTGAAATCCCAAGAGGAGAATGGAGGAGAAGGGATTGCAACATGGCCATGCCCTTGGGGGGAGAGTTCTCATTTTCTCTTTTCTCTGTCTCCAGCAAGCACCCGTGCCCTATAGCACATTTTTTAAAAATAAATAGATAGGAACCAGCAGGTGGCATGCTGGTTAAGGGCACTGGACCCCCACATGGCTGACCACAGTTCAGGTCCCAGACATGGCAGCTTGCTTTCTCACTTTCCCTCTCTCCTTCTCTCTTTCTCTGGTCAAGTAATAATAATAATCAAGTTATATAAGGAGACCAGTAGGTGTCATGCTGTTTAAGGTGCTGGACACTCCCACATGGCTGACCTTGGTTCAATTCCCAGACCTGGTGTCTTGCTTTCTCACTTTCCTCTCTTTCTTTTTCTCTCTGTATCTCTCTCTCTGGTCAAATTAAAAAAAAAAAAAAAAGAAAAGAAAGAAAGAAAGAAAGGAAGGAAGAAAGAAAGAAAAGAAAAAAATATTAAATAAATAATTTGGGGGAGAGGTTTTTGCTATAGGGCACGTGCATTCACCAGAAAAAGAGAGAGAGACAGAAAGACAGAAAGCGAGAAATCACCCCCCATGGGGGATGGCCACAGTGCAATCCCTTCTCCTCCGTTCTCCTCTTGGGATCTTAGACACACACGCCTGGCATGAGTTTAAACCACCAGGTCTGGGATTCAAACCACGGTCGACTACATGGGAGTACAGCGACATAGCCATTACGCCAACTGCTGGTCCCAATAAATAATTATTTTTTAAAAAATAAAGTTAAATAATTTTGAAAAAGTAATAGAAATAGATAAAATGAATGCCACATGTGCCATTTAAAATTTTTCAGTAAGCATGTTTTTATAAATGAAAGTTTAGGAGTTTTATATCTGAGTATTACATTTCAACATGAAGTCAGTATTTTTAAAACTATTAGTGAGGGGTCAGTAGGTGGCACAGTGGTTGAGACATTGGACTCCCACATGCCCAACCCTGGTTTCAGTCCCAGACCTGGTGGGTTGCTTTCTCATTGTCTCTGTCTGTCTCTCTCTGATCAGAGTCAAAGAATAATGGTGAACTATGCCTGGGCAGGGCGAAGCCAGAGGAAACTCTGGTGGAGGTCCTTAGTGGTCCTAACGTGCAAATTGATCGTCTGACCTGGGTATCGACGAATTAAACCATCTAGTAGCTGATCCCCTCTGAAGTTTCCCTCAGGATAGCTGGTGCTCTCGCAGAACCAACCCCATGCAGTTTTATCTGGTAAAACAAATGATTAGAGGTCTTGGGGCCAAAGTGATAACAAATAAATAAAGTTAAAAATAAATAAATCTTGGGGCTGGCAGGTGGCATGATGATTAAGAATGCTGGACTACCACATGGCTAACTATGGTTTGAGTCCCCGACCTGGCAACTTGCTTGCTTTCTTTCTCTCTCTCCCTCTCTCTCTCTCTCTCTCTCTGTCGCTTTCTTTCTCTCTCCCCCCCCTCCCTCCCTCCTTCCCTCCTTCCCTCCCTCTGTGGTCAAATTTAAAAATAAATACATAAATGAAATTAAATAAAATAATTCTTTTTTAAAAATAAATCTTGAAAAGAAAACTGGTGAGATAGCCTCCTTCCCTGTGTACACTAAAGCCCACACTCAGCACGTGGCCCATACTCAACAGGTCCTCATTCTCCAAGCCCCCTTCAGCTACTCGGCAGCCCCACGTGGCTGCCAGGCCGGGCAGGGCCGGGCTCCTAGAGGCTTCCCAGGAGCACTGGTCACACTAGCTCAAGTGCTGCTCTTCTTGCAGGTCCAGGGAGTGATGGGATCATGGTGACCTGGAAGGACAACTTTGACTCCTTCTACAGTGAAGTGGCGGAGCTCGGCAGGTACGGCATACAGCCAGAGCCCCTTCCAGGAGGGCAGGGTACAATACTGTCTTAGCCTGTTTTGTGCCGCTGTGACTGAAGACCATGAAGTGGGTGATTTATAGGGAATAGATGTGCAGTTGGCTCCAGGATCTGGAGGCGGGGAAGTCTGGGAGCGTGGAGCTGGTGTCTGGCAAGGGCTTAGCGGTGGAGGAATAGCAGAAGGCAGCAGTGAGCTCTCCAGACAGACAGGGTGGGGGTGGACTCCCTCTTACAACAGCCACACTCCCGATACCTGACCCACTCCTGCATTAACAACGGCAGCCATTTGCCCATGTTAGCCCCCACTCCCAGCTGTTGCTGAGGATCGAGCCCAGCGCGTGATCTTTGGGGGCTACAGTCAAACCATGGCACATGCCATCAGAGTGGCTCGATAGACTTCCACTGGGCATCTTGGCAGCTGTTGGAAGTTCCCTGCCTGTGTGTGAAGTGTGCCCTGTGGTGCCTTTAGATAGTAAACCTTAGGGAAGTAAAGAAGCCATTTTTAGAATTCGTGATGCCATAAGCCATCCATGGATGGACACTGGCCTCTCTCCTGTGCATCTGGAATAGCAGCAGCCCTGCCCACCCTTGGGAGTCACTCACACACCCTCACAGGGCTGGATTCTCCTGTGGAAGCCCAGGTAGCAAAGGCAGAATGTCTAGCTTGCAGCTGTGCATGGGGATTGAGGGGAGCCATGCCATCATGACAGGAGAACCAGGTTCTCGTGCACAAATAGAGAGGGGTTCATCCTAGGCGGCCGTTTTCCTTGAGAGGGGACAGCAGGGCTGCCTGGTGGCTCAGCCATGGCATCAGCTAGCCAGGCTCCTAGCTCCGGCTCTGCCATTTGTGGGGCATCCAGGCATCCTGTCCCGTGACGCAGAAAGAGGGAACCAGAAAGCCTGATGGCTGAGCTTGTCCCCTTTGGAGAGCTTTCCAAGAAACCACCAGCAGCCGCATCTTCCAACCCGGAGGAGCTGGAGACAGGTCGTGGCTCCTGTTAGCGTAGCTGTCGGTTATCCCTTGCCGTGCCCTGCTGTTGCGTGCAGTGGTGGCGTCTCCCTGTCACCATGCAGTGACCTCTGGGATGGCTGTTTTGTCATCTCCCTGTCCTCGAGCACACCCTCCCCTCACCTCCCTCTTGTGCGAGGCCTCATCGGGGGCAGGGCCTCTTTCCACATAAACTTCCACGATGGCCAGAGCGTTCTAGGAGAGCGAGAGCAGAAGTGTGAGGCCCATGATGGCCCGGCCCCCAAGCCTATCCACTCCCTCCATGTGCGGTGGGTTGGAACCCGTTGGTGGGCAGCCCGGTCAAGGGAGGGGAAATTTCTGGAGAAACAGCAAGGCAATGACCAAGGCTGTGGCCGACCACTCGTTGTTGACAGTCCTCACTTGTGTGAGGTGGACGTACCCCCTCGGGCCCCAGACCTCATCTTCACACAACGGGCTCAGGCCTGAGGTCCACGGTGGCCTGCCCAGGGCAGGTCGAGGTGCAACCGAAGGTCCTGGGTGTGACTCAGTGGCCGCAGCTCCAGGAACCATGATATGAGCTCCCTGCCCACATGCTCACGTGCTACACGGGCAATGCCAGGACAGAGTGACTGTGTAGACGCTCCTTTCAAATGTGTGGGAGAGCGAGCTAACCAAGAGGCCCGAGGGTTCATTCCCTGCTCCGCGCCTGAGCTGGAAGTTGTCCCTAAGAATGAAGGGAAAAGCTGCCTGGGACAGCCAAGGCTAGAGGGGCCTGTCCTCTGCTTCTGCCTTGTTCTGTGGTCAGGGGAAGCCCTGGGGCCTGCCCAGACACAGCAGGGGCAGCGTCACATGGCCAAGGGGGCTGGGGGCTGGGCGCTGCCAGGTGTGGGGCTGTTGTGTTGCACAGCTTTTCCGGGCGTGGCCCGGGGCTGGTCACTACCCATGGACGTGGCCCTGCATTCTGTCCACTTGGGGGTCACTGAGGCTTTTCACCTGACGTACCGCAGAGTGGTGACATTATCTTCTCAACACATTTTTCAGGGGCAGATTCTCTGTCGTCAAGAAGTGTGATCAGAAAGGAACCAAACGAGCAGTGGCCACTAAGTTTGTGAACAAGAAGTTGATGAAGCGTGACCAGGTCACCCACGAGCTCGGAATCCTGCAGAACCTCCAGCACCCCCTCCTTGTAGGCCTTCTGGACACCTTTGAGACCCCCACCAGTTACGTCTTGGTGTTAGAAATGTGCGTACCCCACCCCTGGCTTCTCCTCCCCATCACGGCCCTAACTTCAAGTGGCTTTGTGTGTGTTTATTCTCTAAGAAAGGGATAGGAACTGGGTTTTTAGTATTCACGGAACTTCTGAAAAATAGGTTTACCGTCAGAGACTGCGGTTTTAGAGCCTGTGGGTAATGGCAAAAAGAATGCCAGTCTTTGTACGAGCTGTCTGGGGTGCAGGGTGCCGGTTTTCAACCCACCCAGGGACCCCCATGTCCCAGTCTCCCAAGAGCCCAGGTTGTCTCTGAGGCTAAAGACTCACCCGTGTGTGGCCTAAGGTCCACTTGGCACCTGGGTCAGCTTGGGGCCGGGGGACCTCCCAACCTGCTCGTGTCCGCCCTTTCCAGGGTCAGCATAACCCCGGGCCAGGCCTGCCCCTTAGGGCCCTGCCAGTCGGAGACCAATGAGAATGGGGGCATGGGACGCCTCACCCGAGGAGTAGCCTCCAGAGCAGCCTCCCTAGTACCTGTTGCTTTTCCCGGGCTTCTGCATGAGATCTGAGAATGACTCAGGCCTGTGAAGAAAGTTCAAGTCCCATGACCCTAGAGAAGTGGTTCTCACCTGAGACCATGTCACCCCCAGGCACGTTTTTAAATGTCTGGATATGTTTTGGGATGTCACGGCTCAGGGAGAGAGAGCCACTGACGTGGGAGTGGGTGGATGCTGCTTGACTTTCCACAGTCTTCACCCAAGCTGGATCCTACGCAAAGATTGGGAGTCGGGGATTGGGAAACCTGCCCTGGGGCATCCCCACCTCCGTGAAAGCTCTTTGCACTCAGCTTCCTCCTTGGCAGGGCAGTTTCACGCATTCACTTGGATTCACAGCTTCTGTTCCTCTGGCAACAGTAAAGCCTTTGCCTCTGTTCCCAGGGGAGGAGCGGGATGAGCAGGCCCAGCACTGCGGATCACACGGGGCTCATCGTGACCCTTGCGCCCAAGTCGGGACACTCACTTGCAGGAGCTCCCCCAGGCCTGTTCCTTTTTCTTAAACTGTACACGCCTCCCCTCTACAGCCTTGCCAGCCTATGCGGGCAGCCCCTGGATGCCAGCAGCTGTCTCAGGGGGCTCCTTCCCTGGAGGAGAAAGCTCATCACATGGCAGAAGGGAGGGTGGCAGCAAGTATGGAAAGAGAAGATCCTGAACACGAGCCTGGCCAGACTCCAGCCCGGCATCAGTCCCAGCCTGGCCTCCACTCAGCTCGTTTCTCAACCTCAGTGCCGTGTAAGGTCACAGCTGTCCTGGACGGCTGTGAGCGACCCGCACAGTGCTGAGCGCAGAGGAGCTGGCATCCTGGCCCATGCCTGGCCTGCAAGCTCAGTGCCTGAGGGCCTCCTTCCGGCTCAGAAACCTGACAATAACTGCACGTCCTCCAGGGCAGTTCCGAGAACTAGCGTTGGAACCCTGGTCAGAAATCTCCCAGAAGGCCTCCCTTTCTAGTGTCAGCTGTCACTCGTCACTGGAAAACTAAGTGGTGTGGCCTCACCATGCTGTTGACAGGATTTATTTTCATGACAGTTCACTACCAAGTTGTCACTGATTACTCGCCAGAGGTAGACTGGTGGCTGGTTTCCTGTAAAGCTCTGCTCTGAACGGCGAGGCTGGGGAGGTCTCGTACCTTCTGTGCGCTATCTTGTCAGTAAAGTGAGGATAGCGAAGCCTTTTTATCAGAGAATCGTCATGACAGTTCAGCGAGTTGGAAAGAACTAATAGAAAGCGTTAGTCTCTGGCACACGGGCAGTGCTGTGTGTTTTTTAAATAATAAAAGTCATTCAGGGTCTGGTAGGTGGCGTGGTGGTGAAAGAGCTAGACTCCCACATGGCCACTGTGGTACGAATCCCAGACCTTGCAGCCTGCTCTCTCGCTTTCCCCTCTCTCTTTCTCTCTTTCTGTCTGTCTGTCTGTCTCTCTCTCTCTCTCTCTCTGTAAGTCATTTCAAGGCTGGCACCGTAGTCTAGTAGTTAAATGAACCAGGTCCCACATGGCCAACTGTGGCTTGAATCTCAGCCCTAGTGGCGTGAGAAACACATCAGACATGTATGTGTGCATGCCCAAAACCCCAGCAGGATGGAGAAAGGGAGGGAAAGGATTGGGGGGAGTCTCCTGGGAGGTGTGTGTTCTCTCTCTCTCTGTCTCTGGGGAGCACACATGCCCCCTGGCAGTTGTTGTTACACAGCGATTTCAGAGTAGGGAGACGTTCGAGACCCACGTTAAGCACTTTACCAAATCCTCTCTTTCAGCTTTCATGAGGCCCATTTTCCCAATGAGGACCCTAAGGCTTAAGGGGCTGGAATGACTTCCTTCCTTCTGCAAATACCTATAAAATGTCTGCTCTGTGCTGGGCACAGCCACGTGGTCTCCCACGCCATCTCCCAACGACACTAGCAGGGTTCGAATCTTCCTGCCCCTTCACATGGAGCTTCAGGAACGTCTCCCGCCTTCCCTCATGCCTTCGAAGGGAGAAGCGGTCCTGAAGCACTGACACAGGGTTCCTGAAGGGGGCCAAGCCCAGCGTGCTACTTCGTTTCGGCCCCGAGAGGTCTGAGAAGGGAAGTGTGTCGTGACAGCATCGCTCATTCTTCCCTCTGCAGGGCTGACCAGGGTCGCCTCCTGGACTGCGTCGTACGATGGGGAAGCCTCACCGAAGGGAAGATCCGAGCGCACCTGGGGGAGGTGCTGGAAGCTGTCCGATACCTTCACAACTGCAGGATCGCACACCTGGACCTAAAGGTTGGCGGGCCCAGGGCCACCCGAGGGCGGGCTTGACCCTGCTTGCCGGCTCAGCCGTGGGACCCCTCTCAGCCTATCCTCTGAAGCCAAACATCACCAGCAGACTGGGGACAGGTGGGGTGGGGCGGGGGACTGTGGCTGCTAGTCTCTGTCGAAGAGCTAGCCTGTGTTGATAGCATAATCAGTAAGATACTAGGAAACATCTCTGATCTTGCAGCATTTCCAGAAGCTTTCAGAAAGTCCCTGTGACTCTGCCGGGTTGGCTCGGGACTGGCTCTGAGTAACAGAGAGGGAAGAGAGTTCGGTACTCTGCGAGGAACAACAAGCTGCTTAAACCAGCCCTGTTTAACATCTACTGAGCTTTTTTTTTTTTTTTTTTTAACTATTTCTTTTCTTTGGAGAGGTATTTTGTTTGTTTGTTTGTTTTTTGCTATAGGGTGCGTGCACTCGCCAGACAGAGACAGAAAGCGAGAAATCACCCCCCAGGGGGGGATGGCCACACCACAATCCCTTCTTCATTCTCCTCTCGGGATCTTGGGCACGCACACACACGCGCCCTGCATGAGTTTTAAGCTACCGGGTCTGGGACGCAAACCGCGGTCAACTACTTGGGAGTCCAGTGCATAGCCATTACGCTAACTGCTGGTCCCCTCTACTGAGCTTTCAGAGAGCCCCTGTGCTCGGGGCTGGGCAGCAGGTTTCTGCGTCCGCGCGTTCTTCCTTCCCTGGCCTGCATCGGGCTCATGCTTTTTGTTCTAGCTGAGGTCAGACGCCTTCTACCTTCACCATGGATTCCTGACGAACAGCATGAGTAAACGTAAGATTTGGGGTGTTTGAAATGACCGTTGTCTTATCATCTGTTCTAGCCTGAAAATATCCTGGTGGATCAGAGCTTAGCCAAGCCAACGATTAAACTGGCTGACTTCGGAGATGCTGTCCAACTCAGCACGACCTACCACATCCACCAGCTACTGGGGAACCCCGAGTTTGCAGCCCCCGAGATCATCCTCGGGAACCCCGTCTCCCTGACCTCAGACACGTGGAGTGTTGGAGTGCTCACATATGTCCTTCTCAGCGGTGTGTCCCCCTTCCTGGACGACAGCGTGGAAGAGACCTGCCTGAACATTTGCCGACTAGACTTTAGCTTCCCGGATGACTACTTTAAAGGAGTGAGCCAGAAGGCCAAGGAGTTCGTGTGCCTCCTCCTGCAGGAGGACCCGGCCAAGCGGCCCTCGGCTGCGGTGGCGCTGCAGGAGCAGTGGCTGCAGGCGGGCAGCGACGGCACCGGCAAAGGCACGGGCGTCCTCGACACGTCCAGACTGACCTCCTTCATTGAGCGGCGCAAACACCAGAATGATGTTCGACCTATTCGTAGCATTAAAAACTTCTTACAGAGCAGGCTTCTGCCTAGAGTTTGACCTGTCCTGAAGTTCTCTCTCATTCTCTTTCACCTGCCAATCAGCTGTTCATTTGAATTGTGAAGAGACAAAAACAAAAACCGTCACTGATCAGCTGCCGGTCTGTTCATCGTGTGAACTTGCATTCCAAGTGAGCTGCGCTCAGCGGGCTTGGCCTGGGCTCTGAGCTTTGCGGGGGTGGAGGCCTGCAGTTCACTCTGCCAGAGGCAGAGGGCGCGTTGCTGGACCACAGTGTTTTATTCAGGTTTCTGCAAAAAAAAAAAAAAAAAAAAAAGATAACTTTTTTAAACGAACATGAATAGAATTTTGCAAATTTAACGTTTTCAAGATTTATCCAAGGAAACACAATGCCTATGTTCAGCCACTGGTGTTAACGAACAAAACCAAGATACTGTACATCTCTGGGGAAGACTCACCCAGGTGGCCTCATCTCGTGCCCGGGGCCCACCTGGCTCAGAGCTTTCCCAGCAGCCTCGTCTGTGTGCATCTTACCAGACACAGACCTGGCTTCTGAAACGTGCATTCAACCTCAAACTTTTGCATAAAATAGAATGAATCGTTTTGCTCTGATGAAATGTAGGCCTTACTTGTATATAAGACTGTTCCTGCCTTCGGTCTGTCATTTCTCCTAGACCTCCCTTCTCCCTTCCACTCCCAACCCACTGCCTGGGGCTTCCTCAGGGGGAGTCCAAGGGTCTGTCCCCTCAGATGAAGCCATCGGGCTGGGTCCGCCTCCTGCCCAGTCCCTCCTTCCCCGCCCATTCCCATCCCCAAGCCCTCAATCAGGTTGTGGAGCAGTATACAGTCAGATGAAAATACTGTAAATGCACTCATCGGGGTTTTGGTTTTATTTCCTATCATGTGCAATGTTGTGGCTTTAACATTTTATGCAACTATTTATGAAGACCTCTGTTGTACCTGTAATAAATATATAGAGAAAGCACATACTTCGTACGGTGAGCTTTATGGTTTTGTGTGTGTGTGTGTGTGTGCGTGTGTGTGTGTGTTGGGGTGGGGAGGGGCTGGGGTGGGGGGTGTAACCCTGTACCATCAGTTCAAGGAGATTTAACTCCTCGTGAAATTTGTCGGTTTTGAGGACTGTAAAAAGTGATTTCCTACTCTGAGTATAAAACTGGGTAATAGGGTAATGTTTTAAAATTTATTATGCTATTATTCAGAATGCCAAAGTATTATTTTTTTTCCCAAAATCAGTCTTGACATTTACTACTTTTTAGACTTTTTGACGTTCAACTTTCTGTAAAAAATAAAAATAAAAATAAAAAATTGGCTAGATTTTGAGCTTTTTGGTAAGAAATAAAAGCCAATTAAGCACTGACCAGCCTGAGGCTGGTACCCGGTGGT